AAGCTGATATTCACATAACATGAAATTTACTATTTTAAATTATACAGTTCAGTAGCATTTAGTATATTCACAAAGTTGTTGCAATCACCACCTCTATCTAGTTCCAAAACATTTTCAATACCTCAAAAGAAAATCCTGTACCCATTAAGTGGTCACCTCTTATTTCTCCCTCCCCCTAGGCACTGGCAACCACCAATCTGCTTTCTGTCTCTCTAGATTTACCTAGTTTCGATGTTTCATATAAATGGAATCACATAGGGGCACCTGGATGGCTTAGTTGGCTGGGCATCTGACTGCTGATATGGCTCAGGTCATGATCTCATGGTTCATGAGTTTAAGCTCTGCATTGAGCCCTGAGTCAGGCTCCCTGCTGACAGCACAAGGGCCTGCTTGGGATTCTCTCTTCCTCTCTTTCTGCCTCTACCCCAATCATGCTCTTTCTCAAAATAAATAAACTTATACAAGTAAATGGTATAATTCAGTATGCAACCTTTTGTATCTGGCTTCTTTCACTTCCTATAATATTTTCAAGGTATGCACATTGTAGCACATAGCACTGCTTTATTATTTTTAATAGCTGAGTAATATTCCACTGTGTATATATAACCTCATTTTGCTTATCCGTGCATCTGTTGATGGACATTTGAGTTATTTCTACTTTTTGGCTATTATGGGTAATACTGCTATGGACATCCATGCACAAGTATTTGTTTGAGAACCTGTATTTAAATTCTTTTGGATATCGGCCTACAAGAAGAATTGTTGGGTCATATGGTAATTCTATGCTTAACTTTTTGAAGAACTACTCAACATTTTCCAATAATGCAACATTTTACATTCCCATAAGCAATGTACAAGAGTCCCAACTTCTACACATTCTCACCAACACCTGTTATTTTCAATTTTTAAAAAGTTATACTATAGCCTTTCTAGTAATCCTAACAATAATTTTTAAAAACCTTCTTATTGTGGTTTTGATTTGCATTTTCCTAATGACTAATGATGTTAAGCATCTTTTCATGTGCTTATTGGCCACTAGTATATCTTTGGTGAAATGTCTGTTCAAGTCCTAAATACCTTTATATATGTACTATTTTTGGAATCCTTGAATGCATTGTCTAATTAAAAATTAAACAAGGGGTGCCTGGGTGGCTCATTCATTTTAGCCTCTGCCTCTCGATTTTGGCTCAGGTCATGATCTCAAAGTTGTCACATCGAGCCCCCTGTAGGGCTCTGCACTGAGCGTGGAACCTACTTAAGATTCCCTCTCTCCTCTCTCTTTGCCCCTCCCCCACATGTGCTTATTCTCTCTCTCTCTCTCTCTCCCTCTCTCTCTCTCTCTCCCTCAAAAAAGTAAGGTTTCTGAAATAAAAGGAAGAATTTAACAACTCTGGGTCTCATTTTTTTAATTTATACAATAGAGGGACTAAACTAGACCAGAGTTTTCAACCTTGGTACTATTGACATTTTGGGCCAAACAATTCTTGTTGGGGGTCTGTCCCTATATTGTAGAATGTATGTATTTTAGCAGCATCCCTGGCCTCTACCAACTAGATGCCAGTTGCAATTCTGCCCCCCCCCCAAGTTGTGACAACCAAAACTGTCTCCAGACATTGCCCAAAGTCCTCCACGGGGGCACAGTCACCCCCTGATGAAAATCAGTGGATTAGATCAGTGGTTTATAAACACACAACCCTAGACTTGGATCACTTTGTTTTTGTTTTGTTTTGTTTTGTTCTGTTTT